TGGGTGTGGGGAAAAAAAAGGAGAAGGGGAGGTTGTTTCCCGGCTCCATGAGGGAAATTTACAACTACAGTCCTAGGAATCTTCCAAGTTGTAACTGGGAAGAGGACACAGGATTGGAGAGAGAGAGAAAGGGGCTGTCGTTAGGTTTGAAAAAAAAGAAGAGGGAAAGGAAGGGGGGAAGCTTGAAAAGTCCTCGAAAACCCCTCCGCTGGGTTTATTTTTGTATAGTGTACTTAGGTATTAAGAACTTGATTTTATGTAACGATATTTCATGCGGTGAGAAAAATGTCTTCTTTTATTTTAGATGTTAACCTAGTCCTTCTCCAGAGCGGCCGTCACGGTTTCAAAGGCCTTCACTCGACCACCCACAAGGTTTTTGTTTGTCGTCTGCACAACAATGCGCTTGTACGTCGTGAGACTCGGTGAGCCGCTATCGGTGAGTTGCAGGATGAAGTGGAGGGCCATGCCTTTCTCCAGCGCCTTGCCGGTGACGATTTCAACAGCGCATTTTTCTGGCGGGGGTATGGTGATTTTGATGGCTTTATTATCTTCATCCAGTGCCTGTAACTCGAGATCGGGGACTTGCCAGAAAATCAGGGACTGTGCGGATGTCGGCTCCTTGTACTGGAACCACTTGAACGTCAAGGCGTCGTCGTCCGGGTCGTAACTCTGGGATGCGTCGAGGGTGAGCTCTGTCCCGGCTTCGGCTTCGAGGAGGAGTGGCTCCGGGCCGGGTGTGCTGTCGTTGACAATTGTCACGGGGGCATGGTTCGATTTCCTTCGGTCGTCTGTCAGTGTCCACTGCATCCGCGCGGCGAAGTCGTCTTGGTAGTGTTCCCGCCACCGCCAGATGGTGGCATGGGAACTGCGGAATTTCTGGCCATTTTTCCCGACGACTTCGTCGCTTGCATCGTGATAGTGGTTTGTCGACCCGCCCAGGTCGAGGCGCGTGTATCTCCCGCCCCAGCTACCCCATTCAGGATGCTCAGGGTGTCCGAGGCCGTTTTGGATGAGGTACAGAAAGGTGGGCGTGTCTCCTTCCATGATGAATGCATAGTCGGGGTAAGCTTTGCCCAATGGTCCGATCTGGATGTGCTCTTTCAGCCACTCTTTTGTGATTTTGCTTTTATCGGGCCCGCCTAGGTCAAGAGGCATCAAGATGTCTCCGGAGATTCCAGTCCAGGCGGCACTTGAGTATTCATTCCACCCATGGACGGAGCAGATGTAGAAGATGTCCGGAAAGTTCAGTCGAATCCAGACGCCTGTGTCATCTTGGTCGGAAATGGTGTACACACGCAGTTTCGAGCGGAAACGAGCAAAGTCTGTTGCCGACCTGGCCTTTTGGACGTGGCTCAATGCTTGCGCAAGCGTGTTGACACCCCCCCAGCAAATCACCCACAACGGACTGTCTGACTGGTCCACTTGTTCTATCAACAATGCCGATCCGTCGCTTAACGGGACGCCATCCTTCAGAGCCTCTTTGCCGTACAGAGACGGGCCAGTCTTGATGATGGATAGAAAATAAGCAGCATCAGTGTACTGATTTTCCGGATGTACGTGCGCGTTGAGGTTGTTCACCACTTGCCCGTACGCCTTCACGATGGTTTCCATGTCCTCTGGGTGAACTTTGGACCTCATCCATGTCGACGTGCAAGCGACCAGACCACGAGTGTCGAATTCATTCGAGTAGAGCAAATAGCGGACCAGCGATTCTGCGTCGTCGGGCTCATTAGAGATATCAGAGATGACGAAAACCCGGGGTTTGGTCTTGCAAACTCGAAGTCTCTGTTGTTCGGCCATACTGTGCCGCAACTGTTTGAAGGCTGTAGTCTGACCAAGACGCCTTGGAATACCTGGATGTATAAGGTCTCTCGAGTCCTGATTCTGTCGACACTACGACAGGTATATCACCCCCTGGCTCAGCATCTTCCCACATTAAAGTTATACAGAACTGGGCATGTCTACTATGTAGATTCTCCCCAAGTCTGTCATCGGTCGAGGCTAATCTCATTATGGAAGTTGTAGGCATTCGGAGCCATCTGCTAAATCAAAACAGGCAAAAACTACCACCGGTCAAACAGCGAGAGTCAGTGCTCAATCGCAAAAGATGATGACGACCGATCTTTGTACTGCTGGGATTACTGCTCGCCACTTGGGCGAAGGGTTCGAGGAAGAATAAGGTGCAGACAGACAAGGATGACTGACGCATTTACTTCAATTGATCTCAGGAAGCACTCAGCCGTAAGTCGTATCGTGACTACACGTATCAACCACGGCAATGGATTCATGTCTATATAACAAAGCCGTCCAGACTGCGAATGTCCCGCCATTTGAGGTTCAAGTTCCTTTGTAGACATTGCTTGTGCGATGTTTCTTGGGTCATCTCCATCTACATGTTACAGCAAGCGCCGTCCGTAGTGTTGTTGCTAATTGGAGGGTGTCTGACACCTTACTTTCACTGTGAAGCCTCTTATCAAGAGCTACAAGTATTTCTACTGAAATATCTTGTACTTGATGGGCCCAGCTCGATAGGGTACCATTGTAGAGGGACCTGTACCCCAAGCAACCCCCCGCGTTAAGCTTTATGGGGTTGCGATGCGGTCAAGCTCTCCGCACCCAAGACCCCTAAACCCTCCACCCAAGGAGCCTCCTCCGGGCCCCCCAGATGCCCCCTTAGCCCCTTAGCCTCTCAGCCCGGATACCTGTGGCGCTCTGACTGGGTATTTAACTAACTAGTACCGCGCTTAATTGTGCAGTGGGCATAGGCACCTAACTAGGCACCTACCCAGGCATTTTAACTAGTTAGTCAGGCAGTTTTGGATCACGTGCTTCGTCACAAAATTCTTTGCGACTGCGCTAGGCAACCTCCATCCTTCTCTGACAAAATTCCATACGCACCTGTTTTCCACCATCACTGTCCAATAGATGCAGCAAGGACCTGCATATGCTCTGTTCCGGGACCTCATCGAGTGACACCACTCTCTGCGGTGGATAGCAACGTCCAATAAACTCAGAAAGCCTTTCAAATGGTTTGAGCCGGGCGACAATGGGCTGCGATGGACGCCGAATCGATCGCGACACAGTTCGTATCGCCCGGCGCAGTCTCCAATGAGAGCATTTTCGACGAATATGCTGCCGACCCGCGCTTCCAACAGCTTCAAACCGAGCTGAGGTCATGGCTGGTCGTAGGGGCGAACCACTGGGACCAAACTCGCGAAACCAGCCCGTTGTCTCCGGACCCTCTAAGCCTCGCTCCTCGACATAAGCCCGGGTACCAGTATCTCTGGGACCATCTCGAAAACCGGGCGGCGGACCAGATCCCCCTAGAGTCGAAAATCAAGTACCTCCACGTCTGGATCACCGAGTGTGCACCGTGGCTGGACATGTTCGACACGGAGCGTCATTTCGGTCTACAGGTGCCCATCATTGCGCAGGAGTCAGCGGCCGTCTTTCACGCCCTTTTGGCCCTCGCGGCCCGCACGGCCGAACGGCGAGGATATACGAAGGGCTCCCGCGACAGCTTGGAGCTGTACTCGCAGGCCATTTCCTCGCTCACGTCCTCGCTGAACACAAAGGATCCCCATGTCATGGTCACGGCATGTCTCCTCTGCGTCCTGGAAATGATGAGTGTCAGCCCCCAAGACTGGAGGCGACACGTCGAAGGCTGCGCTGCCCTCTTTGCCTCGTCCGGCATCAACGGCTTCTCCGGCGGGTTGTTGCAGGCCGTCTTCTGGTGCTATGCGCGAATGGACCTCTGTGGCGCCATCATAGCCGACGGCGCCGAGGCGACCATCCTGCCCATCGACAAGTGGGCGTTGTTACCCGGCTTGCCAACCTCCGACCCGGGGACGCAAGAAGCAATCACGCGCGAGTTCTTGACCAGGGGCCACCAGGTCCCCGACATGTACGCCAATTATGCCGTCTACCTGTGCGCCAAGGTCTGCGACCTCCTCGCCCGCCGCACGAGATGCGTCGAGTACGGCGAAGACAACGGCTGCGACCGCGACAACTTCGCCCGCGAATGGGCCGTGCTGTGGACGGAGCTTCAGGAATGGTACACGCAACGCCGGCCGGAGATGATGCCCGTCAAAGCGACCAAGTCCGGGCCCGAGAGCTCCTCCTTCCCCATGATCTTCTTCGCTCACTGGGCCGCCATCTCGAGCAACCAGCTCTACCACACCGCCTGCATCCTGATGCTGGAGATTAGGACTGAGGAGACCTGTGACCCATTCGACACGGTGTACTCCCCCCTGTGGCACGCGCGGCGGGTCGTGGGGATTTCATTGACAAACCCGCACCCTGGATGTATCAACAACGCGATCCAACCTCTGCACACGGCAGGCAAGTTCTTCACCCATCTGGAGGAACAGTCTATCATCGTCAAGCTGATTGACTCGATCGAAGCACGCACCGGGTGGGGATCCCGATGGCGTGTCAAGGATTTGGAAGCAGTATGGGGTTATCGTCGTGGGTTTTTCTCTTCGTGAAGTCCTTCACCTTGTCGCACAGACACTACGAAATATTAATTCGATTTGGGGGTTTCTCCCATTCGAAACAGGCTCAGAGCATGCCGCGCTAGAGTGTATGTAAAAAAAATATTCCTTGAATCTGGCAATAATTGCCTCCGCTCGTTACATATCGGACGCCAACATTGTACCTAAGTACCTAGTAGTTCTCCCTCTTCCCTGATAAAGTGATATCAGATCCAGGACTTGGACTTGTGTCTCTACAGAGGGCACTACTGAAATGGATGGTAAAGAGGGACGCGTTTTACTCGAAGCAATCTCGCTCGGGTTTATTCAGGCGGAAGGCGAGGGAGGAAAAAGTGTTCCCATCATGTGTTTGGAATAGTAAGCCGAGTCCTCCTTCATCCTGCGATGGATTGCGAGCGTTTCTGGCTCTCCCTCCCCTGCCACCCGCTTCTCTCTCCCAAGGGGGAAAAGAGAAGAAAATCTTCACTCACCGGGACGCTTGGCCCCTCTCATAAAGGCGTCGACAGCTTAATCATAAATTTCCGCCTCGTCGCCTTTGTCCCTGTTAAGAAACGAGTGCCACTTCACCTCGCCGCCTTCAATCATAATGGGAGTCGCGAACGGCGCTTTGTCAGGCCCCAGGTAGTCCCACAGCCGTTTCTATCCCTCTCCGTAAGCACCAAACAACATCAGTGGCCGACAGAAATAAATTGAGAGACGGGGGAAGGAAAAAGGAGAGAAAAGGGAGAGAGGGGGGGGGGGGATGGGAGAGCACTATGGCGGACATACCAGCTGACTGCATAGCTTGTGGTTGATCTGTTTTGAGAGCAGCATCGTCGAGCCCAGGGAAAACGACTGGACTGTATTTGGGGCATCTGGGTCTCTCGGAAGGAAATAAGTTGGCTTTCCAAACCTAAGCGCCGGCTGCCCCGGGCAAAACGACGCATTGAAATCAGAAAGACGGGCATTAAGATCTTCATCAAGCAGGACCTGTTTGAGACTGAGATCTGAATGAATAATCTCTCTTGCGTGGATCACAGTGATTGCTTCGATGATTTGTAGTCCCCATCGAACCACTAGATGATGTGGGATCTCGTCTTTGTATCGATCGAGGTAGTCTGTCATATTTCCGTTCGGGTAGAAGACGAGGTCAATGTACTCATCGGCATCGTCTGGGATCCATTGCGCGATGCGAGCGTGATTTCCTATTTGCCTATACGCCACCTTTTCATTTCGGACCGTGATGTTAGGGTCTTCTGGGTATGTAGACTCTTCAGGAAATTTCTGAATGATTCTGCCCTCAATGAGATACATCTGGCTGAAAATTCCATGATGAAGTGGAGGACGTGAAGGCTTTCAGACGCATCTGGGTGAAAGCGGTTGCGGAGTCAAGTAGGCAGGCTCATCTGCATCGAGTCTGTTACCTGAGCCGGCTTCTGTCACAGCCAAGATGGAGTACGCTGTGTTATCGAGGATAGTCTCACATCGTCGGAGGGTGATGGCGGCGGTGGAGGGTGACGACTGAACTCTTTGCGGGAAATATTGAGGTGGTGGTCAAGTTATCGGTGGCTGGCATTTCAAGCCTCAACATGGACAATTAGGCTTCGGAGCCTTACCAAGACATCAACTCAGAGGCAGGAGTTCGGCCCCTGGAACCAGCCTCGGGGACGCCTGGGCATCTCCACAGTAAACGTCAAGTTGCTGGTAAGACGTTGATTGATCAGCCACTCATCTTCGCCCGTTGGTTATGTGGCGATTGTATTATCAGATCAGCCTTGTCTGCCCCCCATTCGCCTGCCTCAGGATCAAGACATTATTCTTCCTTCCATTCGCCTCTGCCGATTTCGCTGCCTTCTACCCACTAATTAGACATCCTGCAACTCTTCACGAACTGTTTGAGATGTCGGCCGCTGCAAGTCGAATCGCATAGATTAACCTGAATCTACGTCACAAGCCTCACCTTGCCCGCAGTGACTCCAAGATCACCCTCCAACAACCCGTCCACATCCATTCCCTCCTCCGACATCAAACATGCACCAGTCCTTCACAGGTAGTGGCCGAAAACCTCGCCAGGTCAACCTCTCCGGTCGTACCAACACAAATCCATGGGCATCCCTCTCTAAACCTGGGCATTCCACTGCTCCCGCCGCAAGCAATACAGTTGCCCAAGCTCAGGCAGAGCGGGCGAGGAGACAGCAAGAGAGAGAAAGATCCAATGCCACAAAGACTCTACAGAGGCTATGGCGCGGTCACGCGAGTCGACGAGAACAGAAATCGCAATGGAGACAAGAGTGGGACAAGAACGAACAACAGAGACTGGGCGAGTCAAGTCGAGTGGACTACCAAAGTCTTGTGAACGCAGGCGCGACAATCCCGGCCTATGATAACTCGCTACAGATCCTCCTCCAGTTGCGGCTGCTGCTCAGATTTCAAGAGTTCAGACGGGGCAGGCCAAGGGATGACATGGATCTACTCAGACTGCTCTACTTCGGCGAGGCTCTTGATCACACCTTGGGCTCGTTACGAGTCGAGTTGAATGACAGCTGGAGGTCCAACCTCTCTCGTCTGGGACTGGTTGAAGTTTGCCATCTCAAGAGTATCATCACCGACCACACACAGCATGACAGAATATCCTACGGACCGAGGTTACTAAGAATGATCGCCATGTTGGTTGAGTATATTCCGGACGAGATAGCTAGGGATTCGATCATCTACTTTGAGGTGATTGACTTAGCATTACGCAGACAAGAGGAGGAGAGGTGGCGACGATGCTCGGTTGATGCAATAGCTGCTCTTCTGAAATCTTCTTCCACTCAAAAACGAATGGCATACGCTGCTTTCGCAGCCAAATTCCTGACTAAAGATTCATTTTCAGGAAGCAACGACACTCTGAAAGAGCTTTCCTTTTCCCTAAGTCTGCAAGAGTTGACTCAGGCGATTACGGAGGAGCTTGAGAACCTGGACAGGACTGGAAAACATACATTGACTCCTACCCAGTTATTGTGGCAATTAGCTCATCTCATATGTATTCACGACATTCTACATGAAGGTTACGCTGGTCAGAGTACGTATCTCGAAGCAGTCTCGGCCCTCTTGGGGGAGTGCGCAAACGAGGTTGCCGAGAGGATCGAACTGACCGATCAGCCCATGCTCAACAGTGGTAGCAGGAGTGCTCCCGAACCCTTGCCGGCTTTTGTGAAAGACATGATCACAAAACTTCCGGAGCAAGATAACCTCCGTGCCATTCTGAAAGAAATGGGGTCATCAAGAGCCTCAACAACAACTACGGCTGGTGCAGACTTTCAATCTGCGAAGCGACTGGCGAATTTTGCGGTTGCTTTGCTGAGGGCTTTCCCTACCCGGGCACAGGACATTCGAATGTCTTTATATCAAAGCTCTGTCAGTTCAGTCGAGAACGCAGATATGTCCACTATCCAATATTTTTGGAATGTGGCACGCACGACCAGTGTCTTTGACAAGATCTCCCAAGACTATCGCGTTGTGCTATCAGTCTTGAGAGAGGCGGCTCCAAGGACCAATCAAATCGGACAAGGACAATTATCCAGAAATGAAATTGCTCTATGGCGTGATGAGTGGCGGATCATCTTGCTCTTCCTTGAGCTGTATACGTTTGTCCTCAAATTCATGGACGATGACGATTTCTTCTCCTACGAGAAGTTGCACGCATTTGGAGCCGCAACAGGTTCACACACAAGCTTGTTGTCGAGAAAAGGATCCCTCCCCTTGGAGGAAGTGGCGCTGATGACCATATTCTTGAAGAATCTGGCTTTTACCCTGTACTGGAATGCAGCAGACTTGGTCGAGAGCAACGATCAGGAAGATGAACTAGCCATATCCGAACTTTTTGCCAGCCCGGGCCGTGCGTCTGTCAAGAATACCGAAAAGAAGCAACAGACTTTGACTGGCAATGGTGTCTCGCAAGGCTACCTCAAGGGGTTAGTCACGGGCTTGCTACGCATGCTACATGAGAGAGACTCTAGACGGTCATTCGTACCCGCCGAACACTGGTTAATGACCAATCAGGTTAGCATGGCTGGGTTCATTCCCGCTGTCGTTGCAGAGGAAGAGAAGAGGCACGAACTGGGCGGTGAAGATGACACTGAGGACGAGGAGAACGATTTTGACAATGACACCGAACTGGATATGTCCATGGGCTCGTTGGCGGGCGAGTCGCTCATGCGCTCCATGTTTGGTATCCGACCTGCACACATTCCAAGAAACCGAGTGTCGAGACAACATGAACAAGCGGAAAAACAGCGGATGCAGGCCAGGAAGAAGCGACAGTTGGAGGCATTGGCACCACGCCTTGAAATCCTTCGCAATCTCCCGTTCTTCATCCCATTCGAAACCAGAGTTCAGATCTTCCGCGAATTTGTCCATCGAGACCAGCTTCGCCGACGGAACGGCGTCACTGACCCGGATACCTGGCGTATGGTCGTAAGTGCCACTCAAGGTCGAACTGTTGACGGCCGGCCGGTTGGTATTGACATCCTCTCCAAACATCATGCCCAAATTCATCGGGACAAGGTCTTTACAGATGCGTACGAAGCTTTCTATGGGCTTGGGGAAGGGCTCAAAGAACCCATCCAGATCACCTTTATTGACCAATTTGGGACTCCAGAAGCTGGTATTGATGGGGGTGGCGTGACCAAAGAATTTCTCATTAGCGTGACCAACGAAGCGTTTGATCCCGATGCCAAGCTGCCGATGTTCAAGGAGAACGCGCAGAGGTACTTGTACCCGAATCCTACGATCTACCAGGAAACGGCCGAGTACCTCAGAGTCGCCGGGGTCCGATGGGGTACCCAGGGGATGGCGTTTCCGATGGCTGAATTTCTCCGCCGATACCAGTTCCTGGGTCGCATTGTTGGGAAGTGCCTGTACGAAGGTATCCTGATCGACGTCACCTTTGCGGGCTTCTTCTTGCTGAAGTGGGCACTGACTGGCGGGACGACGGTTGGATCAAACGAGTCCGCCTATCGAGCAACGATCAACGACCTTCGGGAATACGACGAGGAGTTGTACCAGGGCCTCCTGAAGCTGAAGAACTATACAGGGGACGTTGAGACGGACTTTTCGCTTGACTTTACGGTTACTGACACGATTACGATTGAAGACGACGATGGCAAAAAAGTGCACAAGACATTCGTGACTGAACTGCTTCCAAATGGCGCGAATACTCCCGTCACTAACGCCAACCGATTGCTCTACATCGACCGAATTGTGAGATATCGATTACAGCAGCAACCCAAGGCAGTGACGGATGCATTTCTCCGAGGCCTCGGTCAAATCATTCAGCCCATGTGGCTCGCCATGTTCAATCAAAAGGAATTGCAGAAGCTCGTTGGTGGGGACAACAAGGAACTCGACATTGCTGATCTCCGGCGCAACACCCAATATGGGGGAGTCTACGCTATCGGCGATGACGGCCTGGAGCATCCCACGATCCAACTGTTCTGGAAAGCCCTCCAGGAGATGTCAGACGAAGACAGACGGAAAGTGCTTAAGTTTGTCACCAGCACTCCTCGAGCACCGCTGCTAGGATTTAGTCATTTGAACCCGAAATTCAGCATCCGTGATTCTAGCGGTGACCAGGATCGACTCCCGAGCACATCGACCTGTGTGAACCTGCTCAAGTTACCTCGATACGAAGATCTCAAGACGATGAAAGAGAAGATTCTATACGCCGTCAATTCGGGTGCTGGATTTGATTTGTCATGAGAGGATAGAACACGGTACTGCTAGTCTTTTAGCCTCTTCGCCGCGACCGGGCGAAGCGGAGATGTTGGGTCGATGGTCATTCTTCCTTTCGAGGAATATAGTAGAGAGATACGAGGATAGGCATTGGGCGAAGAAATAAAGCCCGAATTGATATTTGCCTGATGCCACCACCACGAATGTGTCTGTATTTCCATGGTCATCCCCCATTTCCCCAGCATGTCGATCTCATATTTGTCATGACCACCAGCTCTTACCGGGGGCAACAGTATGCGCCGCCAACCCAGAGCCGCGGTGCTTGTAGTCGTCAGCACCCACGATACAATACCCGAATTGGGACGGACGGATCTCCGCCTTTATCCTCCTTTTCTCTTTTCTCTCCGGACCGCTAAACAGGGTAATAGTTACTTTGGGGATTCTTGAATTCATTGTTTTACGAAGGAAGGAAGAAGCAATCCATGCCGCCTTTGGATCGGGGAGTGCATGTAATAACTAATTTCCCTGCTCGGTAGAATCCGTTTTTGTTTGGGCGACTTCGACTCGATTAATTAGGTTATTGTCCTTTGCATCGTCGATGGAGGAGTATCGAGTACGAGATAGGTAGCGAGGTAGGTAGGGGGATGCAGGATCAGGTTGGTCCCCCCTCGCCCGATCTGGGATCGTTTCCTTGGTCCGGCCTTGGCCAATGTAAAGACGCCTGGATGAAGACAAGTCGAATGCACGAGTAGATTCGTCGCCGTGGGCCCCAGGAGCTAGGCGGAGCAGGGGGGGAGGGGACGAGTTCTGTACTTGATTGGTAAGAAAGTCTTTGATGGAGCGTGAGAGTCGTGCTATCATGTAAGCCGACAATAGGCTAGGCATGGCAGGGACGAAGGAGGGAGGGAGGGAGGCCTTGGACAAATATCCCCAGGTGTTTGATTGTCTCACGCCATCTATTGATCCTCCATCCGTCTATCCATCATTGATTGAGGGCCATCTCATTGAAAGTACTTGCTCGGGTGCGCAGAAAGATCTTGGAAGTTTAGCGTGCAGATACTGAGTATAATCTACCAGAGACAGTTACACCTCTGTGTCTCTTTATCTGGGTTGATCGCAAAAAAGACATTCGCGCAACCGCCGCAAAGATGAAAGAACCGCCCAAGCTCTCGGCGGGAGACTACTTCTCCTTGCTCTACACCGTGACTCGTGCTGGTAAGTCCCTCGCCTGTCTGTCTCTCGCCGAGCTTGTGAGATGGTTTCGAGAGAACTAATGCTGGACATCGTCACATAGTGGGCACATTAACCTTCGCGACCCTCACGGGCTGGTCGAGAGGTGAGGATTGTCCGCGGGACTACAAGCGGCATGTCATCTACAGCACTTGTCGAACGTTGTTCGCGCACTTGTCGGTCAAGCAGATGCAGGCCCTACAGCCGACCACGAGCGCGGGTTACACGGCTTTTGCGAAGAAGCAAAAGTTCGACCCCGAGATTGTAGAGCTGGACGACGGGGCCTTGGGGTGCTTCATGGGGCCCAAGACGGCGAAGAAGACGCTCGTGTGGTTCCATGGTGGAGGATACACCTTCCCAGCGGCCGATCCGCACTGGGCCATGCTCTGGGATTTCATCGAGCTGGCTAAAAAGAACGACGAGCAGCTTCGAGTCATGGTTCTGGAGTATGAACTCACTCCCCATGGCTATTACCCGTTGCAACTCAAGCAGGCCGTCGCGGGGATCAAGCATCTGTTGGATTCTGGGTTGAAGCCGTCACAGGTGAGCGAGAAATGGTCCCTCTACCTTGGATGCCGTGGGATCAGTCCTGACTGACCTGCCGCGGGGAGCACACAGATTCTGTTTGGTGGTGATTCAGCTGGAGGTAACCTCGCTGCAGCGCTGATCGGTCATCTCTCGCATCCTCACCCTAGCGTATCTCCCATCTCCATCTCCAGTAATCTGGGAGGGGCGCTCTTGGTCTCTCCTTGGGCCTCGTTCACACAAGAGCGGGAATCCTGGAAGAAGAACTTCAAAAAGGACGCACTGGTCCCGGTGACAGTGAAACTATGGTCCGACAACTTCATGGTCAAATCACCCGTAGACAACTGGAACCAACCGGCAGAAGCGCCGGCGGACTGGTGGAAAGACATCAAGGTGGACAATGTGGCCATCGTGGGAGGGGAGAATGAGGTTCTCATCGACGACATCCGGGAACTCGCAGAGAAGATGAAGGTACGTCGCGACTGATCCCAAAAGCCCGAGGGTTGAGGCTGACGCTGAGATTTAGGTGCATAATCCTACACTCGAGTACCTGGAAGCCCCCAGCGAAGCGCATGATTCCATAGTAATGGATAGATCGTTTGGGTTGAAGGACGAGTTGGCATCGGAGCAGTTCATCCACAAGTGGGTTCTGGGCAGGTTAAAGTAGAGCAGGCGTGGAGGGATCATCACGCAACTTGTCGGCGAGGTTGTCTTGATATTACTTGATTGTTGCGGGCAAGAATCCGCGGAGGGGCGCCTTATGTGTATGTTGGGCGCAGCGCAGGGACTCCTCATAGGGAACTCCATAATCATCTCGATCCCATCAACCTCCCCTCTATCGTACTAACTACTAGGTCCTGAAGTCCCTAGACCACCTTGGCCATCAGTGCCACCTGAAAGCCAAAGGGAAAAGAGAAACCCGGGCCCGCCCCCATCCACCAATTCGATTGTTTCCTTTTCCCGCCACCTCTCCAATGGCTTGACGGCACCAAGTTCCCTGCCAACTCTTTCTCTCGGCTCACGATGCCCTGCGTGCCCTGCTTAGATCCCACTCCACGATCCATCCCTTTCCTGTGAAAACGAGCTGCCAAAGAGATCCATCATTCGCTGCCCAACTTTTTGCCTTGCGACCTTGAATTTCTGGGGCCCTACAAGTCGCCATCACCCCAGCTCCTCTACAAAAACGCAAATCACCACTCCCCCATCCATGTCGAATGCGCAGGTCGCAGCCTCGCTCCTCGTTAGGCCATTCCCAGTCCCGTGATCCTGACATTCGACCTTTCCAGTCCAAATCACTCGATCCTACTGCAGCCGGCGGGCCCGCCATCGAACTCGCGACCTTCGCCGGCGCCGAATCCTCGAACAGAGGAAGATACAAGGATAGAGAGCGGGACGCAAGACAGTCGCAGAGACGGCTCCTCAAACTCGAAGAACTCGCCGAACGAGACGACGAGATGAAGTTCTCCCACAGCATTCAGTTCAACGCTGTTCCGGACTGGAGCAGCAACTACATATCCTATAGCAACCTCAAGAAACTCATCTACACCCTCGAGAAACAGATCAACCGGCCGGTGGGCGAGACCCAACCCCAAGACGAAGAACACACCTCTCTGCTGGGCGGCTCGCTCGATCCGGACACTACATTCAAGCGCATGCTGGACTCGGAGTTGGACAAGGTCTGCTCCTTTTACAGGTTGAAAGAGCTGGAGATCTTTGGCGAGCTGGACCAGTTGTTGAAAGATGTCGAGGCCTACAAGGTCGACACGCGCGATGTGGACATGGACGAAGTCGTGGAAGCGGAGAATCGTCGGAAGACCGTGCGCTCAAACAGCATATTCAATGTCCCTTTCCGTCGACGGAGAAGGGCTTCGACGATGAGTGTGAGCTTGGAGGAACCCGAGGGCGAGGATGACAGCGATAGCGACGCTGAAGACAATACCGCGATGATCAGGAAGCCGACCTCGTCGAACCGTCCAAGGAGTAAAAGCACTTGGAACACTGATGGATCGGACCACTCTGCCCTGGCTGAGTCCCGCGAAGACCTACGAGCACCAGACTCGCCCGTGTTTCTTAGGAGGAGACCGAGCTTGGCCATGGAACTCGAGGCCTCCGACCCCGGCCATCTATCGTCGTTGTACGATTCGGGAATTAATCTAAAAAAGCGCATCATCAGCACCTACGTGTCGTTATGTGAGTTGAAGTCCTTCATCCAACTCAACCACACCGGCTTTAAGAAAGCGGCCAAGAAATACGACAAGGTGTGCAACCGAGATATTCGAAAGGACTACATGGAGAAGTCGGTCAACCCGTCCTACCCGTTTCAGGAGAAGACCATGTTTCATCTGGATGAGAATATCGCGAGGGTGGAAAAGGCATACGCCGAGGTCGTCACCAAGGGCGACCAGAGCATGGCCCGGAGAGAGCTTCGACTCCATCTCCGTGAGCATGTCGTATGGGAGCGAAACACGGTCTGGCGAGAGATGATTGGTATCGAGCGGAAAGCTCAAGCGGCCAACTTTGGTATCAGGCAGACCTTGCTGGGCGGAGTACAGGACCCGTCAAAGGCACGACTGCAGGGTGACCGAGAAGCTATTGACACAAAGGAAATCGTTACTCCTGTGGGTCGATACAGGTGCCCGAAGTGGTTGTTCAGTGGCACCTTGTTCACTCTTCTCGCTATTCTGGCGGTTTTCCTGGTTCTGCTGTACCTCCCGATCATGAAGAGTCCAGAGCAGCAAAATTGCTTGGCCATGCTGATCTTTGTGTCGTTGCTGTGGGCCACTGAGGTGATTCCCCTCTTTGTCACCTCTCTGCTGATCCCTTTTCTGGTGGTTGTCCTTCGAATCATGCGATCAGATGACAAACCTCATCATCGACTGAACTCCAAGGATGCAACAAAGGCCGTCTTCGCGGCCATGTGGACGCCGGTCATTATGTTGCTGCTCGGCGGCTTCACCATTGCGGCGGCATTGTCGAAATACCACATTGCAAAGATGATGGCAACGTTTGTGCTCAGCAAAGCCGGGACGAAGGCCCGCAACGTGCTCATCACGAACATGTTTGTCGGTATGTTCTTGAGCATGTGGATCTCCAATGTCGCTGCGCCTGTGCTGTGCTTCAGCATCATTCAACCCATATTGCGGAATCTACCATCGGATAGCAATATGTCCAAAGCATTGATTCTGGGAATCGCCCTGGCGTCCAACATCGGCGGCGCTGCTTCGCCCATTGCCTCACCACAGAACATTATCGCGCTGCAGAACATGAAACCTCCGCCGAGCTGGGGGATCTGGTTCTTCATCGCTCTGCCTGTGTGCATCCTCAGCATCATCCTGATCTGGCTTTTGCTGGTTGTCAGCTTTAAACCTGGCAAAGGGACCACCATCGTGCCTATCCGACCGATGAAGGACAAGCTTAATGGTGTGCAGTATTTCATCATCCTGGTCACGCTAATCACCATTGTCCTGTGGTGTGCTTCTCATCAACTAGAAAGCGTGTTTGGGGATATGGGTGTTATTGCCATCATTCCTCTGGTCTTGTTCTTCGGCACGGGCATTCTGACCAAAGAAGACTTCAATAACTTCTTATGGACGATCATTATCCTCGCCGCGGGAGGTCTTTCTCTGGGCCGCGCAGTCTCCTCATCGGGGCTGCTCCATTCAATTGCCAGGGGTATCACAGAACGGGTGGACAATCTGTCCATTTATGGAGTCCTCGTGGTCTTTGCGGCACTGGTGCTTGTGGTTGCTACATTCATCAGCCATACTGTGGCGGCACTGATCATCCTGCCGCTAGTGGCACAGGTGGGCGAGAGCATGAAGGAGCCACACCCGAATTTGTTGGTTATGGGTGCGGCGTTGATGTGCTCGGCGGCGATGGGGTTGCCTACGTCCGGGTTTCCGAATATGAGTGAGTTTCTCCCTTCTGTTCATCTTGTGATTGCGTTTGGGCCCTGATCCCGTGTCTCTGCACGAGACCTATGGTTTGCCTGTGGGATTTGTCGCTAACAAAATTTCCAGCTGCAATCATGATGGAAGTGCCTGAAACGGGGGTGCGGTATCTTCGAGTGCAACATTTCTTGACCCGCGGCGTCCCAGCATCTGTGATTACGTTCGCCATTGTGATTACTGTCGGTTATGGTTTGATGATGGCCGCCGGCCTTTGATTTGGTGCTTGAAGCGTGGATGCCAGCACGTAGTTGAGTTTTGTGCCATTCCTTTTAGATGTTCGTTGGGTATACCCTATATTAGGACATTGGAAAATGGGATACCCGGGTAGGAGAGGAGAAGGAAAACGGTCTCGCCGACCACGGATACGTGTGCAGAATGAGTGAATATAGGCCATTCCGGGCACAGTTGGTATAGATCCGCGTCTTCCGGAGATGTCTTTTCTCGCTTGGTAAGGCATATGTAGCGGAATAACGTGGACGTGTTTCCCTGCGGTCTCACAAGGACATTACATTATGGGTGTCGGTGTGTGTGAAAGAGTGCATAGTGCCTCTGCTTCTGGCCTCTATGCCTCCATGTGTGGTGCTGTACCTCCTCGTCCTCCTGTCTTGTTCTTGATCTTGAAGATCGGATTCTTCTTTCGATACCCTCTCTTCTGCTTTGACGTTTTATCTTCAAGTCTGTTTCAGAACAATCCCTCCTGCCTGTGTCCCATGGTCCTAGCACTCGTTCTGCCACCTACCACTCGACCACTCACAGCACCAGCACAAACTTTGCCGTGCTCTGCCTTGCCTTGTCTCGCCTTGCTTTGCTCTGCTCTGCGCTGCGCTGCTTTTACTTCACAACAACACGCGTGGTCGAGAACTCGACCCCCGCCGCCTCCGGAGCTGAGAGGCCATACGCGAACTGCACCGTCTTGTGCTTCTTGGAGCCCCTGCCTCTGCCTCTACAGAGCCTGAACCCGCCCTGCGCCCACATAATCCCCAGCGCGGGGCCCGGGTGGCCGATACAGAGAACCGACACGGCCAGGGCCATCATGGCGCCGTCGAGGACCATGAATTTGACCTCGTCGTTGGCGAGGGCGCTGCTGAAGCCTTTGCTCAGTTCGGCGACGCGGAAGGAGCAGCGGATCAGGATCGCAAGGGTGGAGATGGCGATTGCTATGTGGACAGTCAGGCGACAAGTAGGGCATGCAGCGAGGGAGGAAAGGATGTGAGGTAGGATGAGTGGCGCGTGAGAACAGGGGAGCCTACCAGATAGAAAAAGCTTGAACTTCAGACTCTTCCGAAGTGCGGAGCTGTTGCGGTTGACCAGATCCGGACGTCGGTGCACGGAGAACATGATCTGGAGACAAACACCGCAAAACGCAGTTGTCGACGCGACCTGGCTGGCAAGCCCCGCAATCAAAAGATCGACCCCGATCTGGTCCAGGCTAAGCGATATGTCCAGCGCGGTCAAGGCGCCCCCGGCGGCCTGGAGGACGAGGGAGAAGAAGTCGCACCCGACGAAAATCACCGTGATGGCGCGCGGGCTGAGCACGCTGAGTCGGGGCCCGTAGACGGCGATGATCCGCGCGAGGCAGATGTAGATGGCGCCGGAGAAGAGGGCCGGCCCGATGGTGAGGCCCACGAGGTAGATTATGAAGTAGTCGTTGTTGAAGTCGTCGTAGTGCAGTCGCACGCGGTACGCGTAGCCCAGGATCTCCAGGCCGATCCCGCCCAGCATGCCGAACATGAAGCCCCATGTGCGGTGCCACACGCCCAGAAAGGCCTGTGCCAGGCACGCGAGGCTGAAGACCCCGAGGTAGAATGCGTTTCCGGCCAGCGACGGGATGTACCTCAGCCGGCCGTAGTCCTCGACTGAGCAGGTGACATACGTGCAGGCGTCGGGGTCAAAGGTCGAGTTCATGGTCGTTCACGAGGATGTTAATACAAGACAATAGAACTTCAGAGAAAAGAGAGACGTGGACACACGAGAGAGAAGAACAGACAAACGACTCAGACCCATTGATGTCCATTGCCTTTGCAGACAGCATTTTATATGTGTTTTCCAGCCAGGAGTTTTTTCCTCTGTAAAGGAAATTTATGGCCTCCCGGTCCTCGTCGGTACATGTCTGGCCCATGCTTGACGAATTCGCTGTGATGAGCTCTCCACCGGGTACTACGCGCGGCTTGGTCGAAGATCTTTCTTTCCCTTGTTCGCAGGGCTTGGACCAAAGATGGTTGGAGGGGGAAATTGTGGCTGCTACAGAAAATGGTGGATGCCTGGCAAGGCTCGGTCTTTGAGTTTGGACCATTCCCCTTTCGGTCAGTTTGTGGGATTCACTGTCCCCTACTCTGGACTTGACCGTCACCAGCGTCTGATTCTTAATGTAACCGCATCCATGATACTTGCCAGAGAAATACACAGCATGGATTCTCTTCTCCTGCGTTATTCCTTCTCGGTCTTTGACTTCTACCCATGTCGCCCGCTGCTCCAACCTCGGCGGCAGCCCAGAAGCAGAGGACTCGTACCAACGTTCGGCAATCAAAGTATGGCTGCTTTACGTGCCGGTGAGAACTCCCAATCTATCAATCGAGCTTGGATATCGTCTAACCACTCCTCACAGAGCCCGGCGAATAAAATGCGACGAGGCCAAGCCACACTGCCTGCGCTGCCAGCGAGGGAAACGCACTTGCCAAGGGTATCCCGACGGCGCTCCTCCGAGCGGCCAAACGAGCGCCGTGGTGCTCTCTGCCAAACCGGGAAAGGTCGAAGGCATCCATATCAGCAAACCCAAACAGCTGGGGTCGAACCCGGAACTCGACCGTCTGCGTCTCTTGGCCTGCACCGTGCTTTCACAGGGACGGCCTGGCGCGAGGACAGAGGCAGAGACTGCATTCTGGAGTCATCTGGTGCCCCAGCTCGCACTGTCCATTCCGAGCGTCAGAGAGGCGGCCGCCGCGTTTGGAGCATCCTACGAGCAACAGATGCTGAAAAGAACCTGCGACGCCGCCAAACTCAAGGCCCTGAGACAAATTACGGCGGCGCTGGCGAAAATTCGACAAGACGTCCTCGAGCTCCCCCACGGCCCTTTGCCCATCCTTGTTGCGTGCATCCTGCTGGCCTCGGCTGAAACAATCCAGTACCGACATACTGATGCCCTGCTGCATCTGCGCGGTGCCTACTCCGTCATGAACTCCCGTGAATGGCTTGCTACGAGATGCTCGAACGGCAAAGCTCTGGCAGAGGACGACCTCTCGTGTCTGTTTGGAAAGCTGGACCTGCAAGTCATCACGTATGCGCGGGGAAACTCTCCAGAGCTTCAATACCCTGTGGCAGCGGCTGGGTTGGACGACGCAGACCTTGCGGCGTGGACTCCACAAAAGGCAGACCGTGAGCTCTTCCGGACGTTGCACTCTTGTTACGCCTTTGCTACAGTGGCATCTGAATACAAATACCTCCCTCGCGCTGCTGCTCGGGAGACGCTGGTGCCAGAGCAGAGTCGCCACATAGCCAGACTGAAAAGATGGCTTTCGTGTTATCGACAGTACTTGAAGACAGATCCAGACATGTCGCCACTCAACTATCAGCATGGACTGGTGCTTCAGGCACACTGCCTCAGCGCACTTATCTATGTCGCGAATATCCTCGACCCATTGGAAGTGGCATACGACAAGTACGCGCCGCAATTCCAGCAACTCGTCGAGTGTATTGAAGAAGCCATGGGTGCGGGATCTACCGAAGCCGAGATGCCTACCTATAACGTGGAGATGGGAATGATCGAGCCTCTTTTCTTGACGGCAATCAAGTATCGAGATTCCGAGTGGCGGGCGAGAGCCATATCCCTGCTGTGGAGATGCGGGAGAGAAGGGCCGTAAGTTTTCTTTTGCCTTGTTTTGACGGAAGACGCCATCGCAGCTGCGGTTCACCTTGTGCTTTGGTCATTGGACAGAAGCTAACCGTTGTCGCATAGATGGTGCGGATATGTCGAAGCGACCGCCGCCGAATGCGTAGTGCGTGCGGAAGAGACGGCGGCGGCAGCATGTCATGGAGCAAGCCTCATACCCACGCCCACAGCCTCGTGTGGACAGGCAGCGGCAGCCCCATCGAATCCCGCATTCCTTCCTGAAGACATTCCCGAGCAGGCACGGGTTGCCGGTCACTCTTTGTTCGATATTGTCGAGGACGCCTCCGGCTCCCAATGGGCTGTCGTGGAAATGTCCCGGTGCCGCGACATGGAAGCGATGCTGCTTGACGCGCAACTACGGCCGAAAGTTACGAAACATTGGTACATGTGGAAGGAGACGTGTCGGCTTTAGCAGTCATGATACAACACACAAGACAGGAAGGATTTCACTGACAGAACTTTGCCAAGGGCAAACGAGAGGAGAGGCACGATGTGTTGAACTATTTAGCAGTGTAATCAATTCTACCACAGCAAATATCCAGTCGTATATCCATGGCGCGCGTGTCTACGGTTACATGGTCTGCGCAAGCAAGGTGACGACGTGCCAGTGCCTACGAAATGATGTAGCAACGCTGAATGGTAGAAGTAACTCGTATATCCTACAAGCATCTTCGTCAAGGCAGTCAGCCTTTTTCTATTTCTGAGTGAACGAGTAGTAGTGCTACTTTCAATCTATCATCGAATCTCACTTCATATAGTCTTGGATATAGTCCTTGAGAGGACAGGACATGCTCTTCTAACCCCTCAACCGCTGCCTCCAGCCCTCCCTCTCCCTCTACGTCCGGCGGTAAGGATCGATTTTTGTCACTTCTTCACCACCACCGCCTCGAACCAATCGTAAATGACGTGATTAGCAAACCTCGCCGCGCCGAGATGACAATGCTGCTCCGCGGCGTCCTCCCTTGTGAACTCGACGTGCGTGGCCCGATCGCCCAGCGCGTCCGCCACCATCTTCGCCTGGCCTTTGGCGAAGTGGTCCTCGACGGCGTCGCACACGAGCACGGGACACCGGATCCGGTCGACCACGTCGGCGACGGTGAAGCGTCTGAGGATCTCGAGGAGTTGCAGCGGCGAGCGGACGTTGAAGGCCCAGCGGCAGTGCGAGAGGGCCCAGCGGAGCGTCGTGGGGACGTTGGGGTCGCGCATCGTGGCCTGGATGGCTTGCATCGCTGCCGTGGCCGTCGCCGTGGGGTCCGCGTTGGCGTCGACGTTGACGGCCGGGGCGAGTTTCTGGTGCGCCATCGCGCTGGCGACCGGGAAGATGGGCGTCCGCGCCATGTCGAACATGCCGTCGACGCAGAAGAGGGCCGCGAGGCGGGGTTCGAAGGCCGCGGCGCGGGCGCACAGGAGTCCACACAGAGAGTATCCCAGGAGGGCGACCTTGGCAGTGTCCACTCCGGGGAGGGTTTCGAGGTGGTCGAGGACGGGGCTGACGACCTGCTCCCACTCGAGGATGAAGCCCAGGCCCTGGGACCGCCGCGTGAAGACCTGGCCGGGCCCTTCGAAGCAGACGACGTTGTACCCCCTCTGCAGCGCGGCGACGCCGTGGACGTGGTACATTTCCTCCATGGACCCGTCGAGGCCGCTGCACATGATGACCGTGGGCCTTTTGTCGGCGGAATCAGCATCGGCGCGGAAAAAGATGGTCGGGATCTGGAACCCGCCCGCCGGCGAAGAAATCGTCCTTCGTTCCCCCGGGATCGGGAGCAGGGACATGGCCCGGTCGAAACAGTCCGTCTGCCTGTCCCACACGGCCGGGATGCGCGGGTCGTCCCAGTCCCCGTGGATGTACAGGTCCGCCATGCGGTAGTACGTCGCCGCGCGGAACAGGGCGTCACGCAGCGAGACCGGATTGCTCATCCTCGCGGCCTGCGCGGCGACGCGTTCTGCTCGTCTGTGGAAGGCCGCGTAGAACGACTCGAAATCCCCCGGGGCGATCTGGTCGGCTGTGGCGAGCACCTCGCCCACGTCGGCGGCGCCATAGCTGGCCAGGCCGAGGGCGCGGAGGATTTGGTATTGGAACGTGGGATCGGCGCTGAGTTGGACCATCGTGCCCTGGATTGACGGTACGGTACTTGTATCGAGTTTGGAACAGTAGTCGGAAGACCCTACCTATCGATCGACACTTTCCAACAAAGGCCGAAGAGGATATTTCTCGAAAAGGTTCGAGGCTGAGGCTGAGGCTGAGGCCTCGTCCACCTACTTACAAGTATATACTATATACCTTCCTTCGCACAAGTATCCATCGAGGAATCACGGAGCTTTACTTGAACGGGTAATTCGCGCGAGATCCCTGTTTATACTTTGCCTTTGTGCTCTTGTGGCCTTGCTGCCTTGTTAAGCTTGCGCCAGAGCGTGATGGCATGCATGGGCATAGCATGCGCGAATCACACCACTTTGACTTTAGCCATCATCGTCGTTCTCATATGGGGATAGTTTTTTTGTGGCTTTGCGAATCGGAAGACCAGCGATCGCCCAAAAAGTCAAAAATCGGAATCTTGTCCTCATGCGGACTTTGAGTTTCATCGTACAAAGAACAAGTCATTCCCAAGTTTAAAGCGATCATGTGAAGACGAGGATGTGTGGATTCGGAACCAACAGGAAATAAATGGATGGATGGATGGATCGGCGGATTTGGGGGCAATGGGGACTTTTGTCAGACCCACAGACAGATTCGGTATTCGGTCCACGGCATAAATATTCACGTATACCTCGTACAAGTACTTGTGTGACATAAGGGTACTGTAGATGTTGAAAACAGCTTCGTTTCTATACTGCGACTGATCAGACTGACGGACCAGCCCAACTCAACCCAACCCGGAATTGGGATAAGTCGTGCAAGAATCCCACGTGTGCGAACCAGGGCGATGAATTGGCTACACTTGGCATGGATTCAAGCTCCCACTACATACCTACCTACGAACTTCGCTTATCGATTGACATATTCTACTCTGCCGTA